ATACAAAAAATTCATTTATATTCCATCAAATTGCTGTATTATTCAAAATACCATTTTCGACCATAATTAACTTTATAACTAATATTCATATTTTTACTTAATATTATTTTTCCAACAAAGAAACATTGTGAGATGAAATTTCTACATCTGTTAGTTTCTTTTATTTTGTAGACAGTGTCTACACTATGTAGACACGATGACCCTCAAGCTCTCTGTCCACCTGACTGCTCTAGAACTCTTGAGTGCTAGGATGGAAGACAAATACCACAAGACCTGTCCCCTATTAGTTTCTTAAAAAGTTAATTCACCAATAGTTGTACTATTCCAGGTCTTTAAAATAATAAAGCAGATATATATATATATATGTTTTTTATTGTTTCTTAACTACAGATTAAATTAGCACATTTAGAATGAACTGAACAAAATTAGCCATGTACAGAGAAAATTTTAAAAAGATGCATGGATTTACCTGAATTCTGTATAACTCTGAAATGGAAACACAAATGAAAAAGAGCCCATTACTCATTTGTGAAAGAGTCCATGTCGTGCATTCTGGGAGGCATGAGCACTGGCTACTTCACAGATCAAAAATGAAGAAAGAAAAAACAAATCTCAGAGCCTCTCTGTGTGTCTCTCTCTGTGTGTCTCTCTGTCTCTCTGTGTCTCTCTCTGTGTCTCTCTCTCTGTCTCTCTGTCTCTCTCTCTCTCTCTCTGTCTCTCTCTCCTTTAACCATGTGTTTGATAGTCTTTGTGTGCTTTCTTACTCCCAATCCAACCAAATGATAACGAAAATCATTCTCTGCTCCAAATCACGCTCTACATATTTGATAAAGAAAAAAGTAACCCATAATTTTTATGAATGCTATATATTCTTAACCATAAATAAATACCATATTTGACATTAGAGTTAGTCATTTAGAAGTTGGGCAATTAAACAGTGCTGAAGTACCAGATAATTACCATCATGCCAGCACCTCACTTAGGTTAAATACTGCCTAATTGACTCAGTGGCATTTTATTTTTTTATTGAACTATGTATTTCATACAAAACATCTTAATCATATTTGGACACCCTTCACCTAACTGCACCCTCCCGTATTACCTCCCACCAGATTTCATGCATACTGTCAATTATATTAATGCCTGTCAAGTCAAGTTACTGTACCCAATGTTCCTCAATGCAAGTTCATTCACTGGGTTCTAGTCAGCCTATCTAGAATCACCCCCTTAAAGAAGGCCAGCTTTTCCTCCCCAAGCAGTAATCAGCTGCTAATAGTTCTTTGGCTAAGAGTGGGACCTGCTACCTATTTCCAAAGTTTTATGCTGGTTTTTTGTCTACTTGAGTTTGCATTGGTTTTGTGCATGTACCCTCTCCCTGGTTCTTACAGTCTTGCCACCCCCTCTTATGCAGTGGGTCCTGAACCCTGGATAGGTGAAATTTAATATAAGAGTTCTGTCCAAGGACCCACACTCCAAAGACTTATTCTCTATGCTTTGGACATTAGTGGCCTTTTGTCTTCATTGCCCTCTGTTGCATGAGGGAGCTTCGTTGATGAGAGTTGAGAGAGTCATTAACATTCTCTCTATGCCCTTGTTCCACTATGTTCCATGACTTAGGGATAGAGGCTCCATTGTAGATGCGCCACTTAGGGTTGACCATTTCACAGACACTTATTCTCTGTGTATAATCAGTTGTGACTCTGTAATAATCTCCATCTGGTGCAAAAAGAAACTTCTTTAATGACTGCTGACTGGCATACTTGTCTGTAAGTATAAAGATTCATATTTAGCACATAGTAAGAAATTACATTTGTCTAGGGATGTGGCAGGATAGGGTTTTCTCTATGATCTATGATCTCTCCAGGCATCTGTATTTTGCTATTTTTACAGTACCACACATGAGTTCTCTCCAACTGAGTGAGACTTAAGTTCAATTAGGTAGCTGTTGATTACTCCCAAGATAAAGGTGTTACTAATGTCCCAATTTAATTTGCTGTGCTGGTCATTGATGTGGTTATTAGGCCTTAAGGCTGGGGTTGGACCATCAATTGATGTTCTCCCTTAGAAGCTTGCATAGTGTATCCCAAAACTATGACAGCTAGCCTTCAGGGAGGTGGCTTCCAGGTCAGTTCTAGCTCCATTGCTCCAAGTCATGTGCCCAAAGTAAGTCCTGTCTTCAGTAATAGACTCTGGGATGCAATCAATGGTTGTGGCAATAGCCTGTGTAATTTTGAGAGTCTCTTACAGGACTGTGGGGTGAATCACTGAATGGGAAGTTTATCCTGTATGGCACTGTATCTTATTATACAGACTACAGCTATACACATGGATACATGTAGATGTATTTTATGTGTAATTTTTTTCAGTAGGCATTTAAACTAATACGTTTCTCTCTGGTTTTCATACCAACTAAGCATTATTTGTCACTCCTTTCTCCCTCCCTTTCTAACTGTCCCTCCTTCTTTCCAGTTAAAGTGCTCTCATTTTTCCAATTTCACCCTCGAAAATACCTGTCGCCTATGGTCCTCCCTCTCTTGAGTTCCTTCTTCCTCCTCATCCCCATGGTTCCTTGTATAATCCTCCTCTTTCCCCTCCCATTTAAATACTTCCATTTAACCCATTCTCCCTTTGGTAACACTTATCTCCTACTGTTTCTCTCTCTCAGGTTCCTCCTTTCCCTTTGCATCCCTGGTTCCTTTTGATTTTCTTGGCTCCTGCAGTTACG